CTGTCCATCTGTGGGGGGGGGAAGGTCCTCCCTGGGGGGGTTTCTCCTTTTGGGGGGAGGACAGCCACCCCTATCCCACCCAGGATAGGAACCCCCCCAAAAAGTAGGGGAGGGATCTGTGAGGGGGGGTCTTATCCTGGTTGGGGTAGGGGTGACTGCCTCCCCCTCCCCCCAAAAGGAGAAACCCCCCCAGGGAGGACCTTCCCCCCCCCACAGATGGACAGGACTCCAAACAAGTTTTTTTAGGTGGGGAGGGGCGTTCTGAGGGGGAGAAGTCCCTCCCCCGCTCCAACAGGTGCACCCGTCCCCCCCCCTCACCATTATTATTATTATTGTTGTTGTTGTTACCGCAATTCCGAAGGCTTCTTACCTCAACACTTTGCTCGTCCATGACTGGAAACCGCCTCCCTCGAGGTGTGGTCGCCTCCGTCTCCTCAGTTTCTTCTCCTGAGGAGAAAACGACCGGCGTGTGAAGTCCCCCCCCCGGGGGGGAGAAAAAACGGGGGTCGGGGGGGGGCTCTCTTTTTTTATCCTCCCGCCTTTTTTTTCATCCCACAGACTCCCCCGACCCAATCCCGGCCATTTCTCCCCCTCCCCTCCGCCCCCGAGAGGAGAACACGGGGAAACCGAGTCATTAACGGCCCCGCCGGCTGTGGGGGGACGAGGGAGGGGGGGGAGGAGGGGTTGAAGCCCCCCCCTCTGCCGCCTTACTGCGCCTGCGCGGTTATGCTCGCCAACCGAGAAGCGAAGATGCCGCATTAGCCGGCGCGCGCTGAGAGCGCCTCAGTGCGCCTGCGCGGGACCGAGCGAGTGCCCGTTCGGATTTGCCGGAGCGCTTCGTTTCCCTCCGGATTTGTCTTGAGCGGGAGAGTAATGGTACGCATGCGTGAAAGTGCTAGTTCTGGGGAGGGCAGCCTCTGGAGCAGGTGAGTAGGAGCGACAGGTTGCAACGGGTTCAGGAGCCTTGCGTGCCGCAAAGTTGACACAGGTAGCCCCTACGACTTACAACACTTCACTGAGTGACCGTTCAAAGTTACAACGGCGGACTTATGACCGTTTTTCACACTTGCGACCATTGCAAGCATCCCCATGATCACGTGATCAAAATTCAAAGGCTTGGCAACTGGCATGTACTTGTGAGGGTTGCAATGTCAGGACATCAACTTTTGCAACCTTCTGAGCAACAAAGTCAGTGAGGGAAGCCAGATTTATTTAACTACTGTATGACTAACAACAACTGCAGTGATTCACTTAAAAACTTTGGCAAGGAAAACCGTAAAATGGGGCAAAATTGCACTTAACAGACATTTCACTGAACAATATAAATTTGGGGCTCCCTTGTGGTCGTAACTGGAGGGCTACATATACATAAGAGAGAGGTGTGTTACTTTACAACTATGCTTTCCAAACTGGGTAGTTATAAGAATTGAGATTCCAACTTGGCTGGGGGATTCTGGGAGTTGAAGTCCACATATCTTCAAGTTGCCAAGTTGGAAAAACTCAGGTCTGTAGCATAAAAATAAAAAAGCACTGATAATGTTAGCTATGAGTAATGAAACATCTGCAATACAATACAACATACAATACAATAGCAGAGTTGGAAGGGACCTTGGAGGTCTTCTAGTCCAACCCCCTGCCTAGGCAGG